ATATGCTGCATAGGGCAGGTGTGTTTTCATGCGTCGATGAAAGCATGTCGCCTCAGAATGTTGGTGAGTGCATATTTGGATCTCCTTCTCTCTAAACACAATGAGCCTCTACAGCCCCACGCACCACCCCGACACACCTCTAAAGCGCCGATCCCACTATACAGCTCTGGCCCTCGGGAGAACACCATTCACGGTGCCGAAAAACACCGGTACAGCCTCTACCCTAAACCGTAAGCCCTAAACCCCTACAGCCCTAACCCCAAACCCTATCCCCCCTCTGCCCAACCCTACACAATAAACCCTGAACCAAAACAATCAAACCCAAACCAAATCCTAAACCCTAAACCCTAAACCAAATCCTAAAACCTAAACCCTATAGTAAACCCTAAACCAAGTCCTAAACCCCAAAGCCCCAACCCATCAGGGGGACTTCTGCTCTGGGCTAGCGGCACAAGTCCGCTTCGCTCCAGCCGAGACAGCTGTGAGTGGTTCATGACCTGGGAGTCTTCGAAAACAGGGGACCCTAATATAGTAGGGTTTAGGGTTTAAGGTTCCTTATACTATAATCCTAAAACGGGAGTTCCCGAAAACAAGGGACCCTAATTTAGTAAATTTAGTACCTTAAATAGGCGGATCCTTACTATAACGACCTCAAAATAGGGTATGCCTAATTTTGGGAAACTCCCACCTGGGAGTCGTAGGGCTTGGGTTCTAGTAGGGTTCAGGGTTTAGGTTTTGGTTTTGGTGGGGTTTAGGGCTTCGCGTTGTGGGTTTGGGTTTTGTTGGGGAAGCTGCTCTATTAAGGAAGCCAGTTTGGGTCGGTAGTGACAGAGGCGACCTCCTTCGAGAAAGCCTGCTTGGTGGGCTTCAAGAAATCAAAGTGTTTCTCAGAAAAGAAAATCGCCGCGACTTGGGCTTGCTTGGCTTTGCCGTAAGCGCAGACATGCCAGCGCGGGTCAGCTGGCACCACAACGATCCGCACCGAGAACAGGCGACACCAAGACCTTTAGCTCGGCCTCGCAGCTGTAGGTTCCTACAAGGGTTACTGTGGGCTTCACCTTGAAGTTTTGAGTTGGCCTACTTTGAGGGGTACTATAAGGGTTCCTACAAGGGCTACTAGAACAGCTACTCTAATGCTGGATGGTTCAAGTTTTGTGGAGAGTGATGATGAGAAGGCCACTTGTGCAACCGTCGCTGCCTACCAGAGAATTCTGGCATAAAGACCTCTCCCGGGGCAATGTCGATGGACAACAACAGGTCTTGTGGAAGCCTCGTCATCCAAGCGACAAATTGAGACGCCTCTATGTCTAAGACCGACTTGGCCTTGAGAACCAAGACGGACTCAGGGACTCCAGAGCCGTCGAGATTGTAAAGATATGCCACGTTCTGGCCCGCACATATGCTCGGATTGCCTGCCAAAACACGAGGCATGCGCCTCGCTCCAACCGGGGCGGGGCCTGCAGCACCTTCATCGTAGTAGTTGTCAAACCCACCTTGGGCAGAAAAGACCTCCGGATCTTCAAGCCTCAGAAGATGGGATCGAATCGCCGTCCCGTCGATGGTGATCTGTTTCATCCATCCCTCTAGTCGCCTGAGCCGCTCACGCAGGTCTGTCAGCCTGATGAGCACGCCTTGTAGATTCAATTGGCCCACTTCCTGCTGTTCATGGATAAGCCTGGCGTGCGCAGACTCCTTGACAGCAGTCGGCAAATCAATTGCCACTCCAGCATTGAAATTATGTGATTCTTTAAGGTGACCAAGGTGTTGACCTACGGCATCCAAACATCAGGGAGGTGTAGGGTTGGGGAAGTTTGGGGCTTAGGGTTTGGGAAGTTTGGGGCTTAGGGTTTAGAGCTCAAGGTCAAGAGTTTGCTTGCCGTTCAAGTTTCCATGTATCGCACGGAAACCGTCGACTCGCATCCCGTGTATTTGTGGCAGAGTTTCTTCTTCTACTGTAGCAAGCCAGCAGATGGGTAAGAGGATTGCGCCATTTTCTTTTAGGCGTTCATGCGTCAAGTTACGGGTTCTTGCAGCGACTAAAACCCCCGAACCTATACTACTCTCAGCTACAAGCCCTTATAGTCGTATGGTAACCCTCAAGTGAAATCAGCCCGACAGCAACCCCTTCTGTATAGATCGATCTATCTGTAAATATGTATATAGTTCTTCTTATCACTAGTATTATTATTACTATTATTACTAGCATTATTATGACCTTATTATTTATTATTAGTAATATTGTTATTATTACTATTATTATTATTGTAAACAAACACATATATATATATATGTGTGTGTGTGTGTGTTATGCGGGGGGGAACAGGGTTTTGGGGTCCATTATACTATGAGTTGAATAAGGAGCACCCAAAATAGTATAGGTAATTATTTCGGCGCAAAGGCTATGTTGATGAAGCTTTCTCCAAGGCACGCCAGCCCAGTCAGTAGGATGCAGGCTTCAGGGCAAAGGTTAAGGGTAGAAAGGAGTTATGGTCCTCCTTTGGCAAGCAAACATCAATTCATTATTCAGATTCTCGCATGATAAGTCTCTAACCTCATGCTGACGAGACCCTACAAAGGCCGCAACAAAAGTGGGAACCGCAAATCCCATGACCCTCCAAAAAGCCTAAACCCCCAAACCCTAAACCCCTACAGTAGAAGCCAGAAAGTTGGAATATCATTATCGTAACCCCTTTAAGGTAAATTATAGGAGATCCTACCATTAATCCATATTCCAACTTTCTGGAGTTCCCTTTATACCCTCATCCCCAAACCGTGTGCCCGACCCATCGGCCATCCTCGCCCCTGAGAAGCTGAAAGCGGACATTTCAGCGGTTCAGCTGCGGTCTGTGGTGTACAAGCTCAATACGTTTAAAGGGATCCATAGGGGTTCTATAAGGGATTTATAGGGTTCATAGGGTTTAGGGGTTTAGGGGCTTTTGGGGTGTAGGGTTAAGGGTTTAGGGAGGCTCCGACTAGAGTGGGGTCTAGTGAGTCTGGTGGGCCTCGGGACCTAACTAGGTTTTAGGATTGGGGCGGCTGTCTACTGAATTCGGGTTCCCCGAGGTGACATACTATGATTTATGGAGGTTCTCTGAATGTTTATGTCTTTACGTCCGAACCGTGAACTCCCATCCTTGAAGCATTCCGGCTCTCGGGTCTTCTGCTCTTGACAAACTTTGAGTAGTACTTCTGGAATTTTCGGGTTCTTTTTTTGAACCAGGGACAATCTGCACCTGTGCGCCCACTCCCTGCACCCTCAACACTACACCCTACCTGTAGTCTCCATTGTAGTTCCTTTTGGGGGTTACTTTATAGGATCCTTATTACATATTTGGTTTAACCAGAAAAAGGAACTACAATGGAGACTATAGGTACATGTTAGTTAGAGTCGCCACAACCTAGGAGCCGCAAGTCACAAAGAAGCCTCTTTGCGAGAAGCTCCGGTAGCCCCCTAAGGCCCTGAAGCACGCTAAGCTCGCACTCTTCTAGGTTCCTCAGTAGCCCCTTTATTCTACGGGCACCCTTTTTCCCACTGTTCGGTTTTAATAAGGGAACTCTAAACTAAAAAGGGCAAAAGGGCTACTCAGGAACCCAGTCTTAATAGAGCTCATAATTTGAGTTGGGTCCTTTTCAGCGGGTTCTACAAGGGTGTAGTAGAAGGGAATTGATACTTAGACTTAGAATAGGGTTATGGAACAAAACTAATCTATACTTTAAGGAATATGTGGAACACTGTATAAACCATGTTTGCCCCACACGATTGAAAACAAACACGAATCCTCGATCACCCAAGAAACATCAATGCTCACGTTTCGAAAGTCCCGCGCTGTCAAGTTTAGGGTTTTACGGCTGCCATGCGCACGAGAGTTTGCGAACCTGCCTGTTTAAAAAGCCCGATTGCGCGTCGGCACAGACTCGAGGTGAAGTTTAGGGTTTAGGGTCTAGGCTTTATGGCGGGGCGTACCCAGAAGCCTTCCACTTCCGAAGCCCGAAAAATCAAAGTCAAACTCCTACGAAGTCCCGAATACCCTGTGCCCAAAAGCCCGGTAAGCCGCAAGCCTACTAGGATTAAGGATTTAGAGTTTATAAGTCTAGGTGCCCCGACTCCAACCCCTGAAAACTAAACCGCTGAACCCCTAAACCCTGAACCACCTCCAGAGGTGAAGTTCATGAAGACCACCCACCAGCCAGGCCGTTGCCACATACAGCATGCGGGTCCTTCTCCGTGCAATTATAGCATGGCTTCGGCAGGGGCTGGCTTAAAGGCTCAGACTTGCGACACGTCCTATTCCCCCAATACCTCCCTTGCCTACCGCCAGCTACTTGCACTGTGCTTCTAGGGCGTCTGAAGCCGCTCTTGACTTGGGGCTCGCAGAGTTTAGTGTTCCAGCCGCTCCCGCCCGACACTTGCCATAACGCAACGTATATGCCCACCGAAAACCCACATCATAGGTTCAGAACCTCAATCATGACCCATGGTATACCACCCTAAACCCTATTTACGATCCAATGCTCAAGCCAGCTTATCCATTACCATCACAGCATCCGTTGGGCTTGGGGATTTACGGTTGCACAAAGTTGCAGCCACAACTGGTTGTTACCAGCAGTGCTCTGTGTTTGCTGCTATATGTTAATGCAATACTTCAGGAACAGAAATAATCCGAAGGCAGCTGTCCAAAGGCCAAAGACAAACCGCAAGCTGTCCCGCGTGGGGACAGGAAGGAGTGAGGGCATTTTAAATTCCATGTAAGATGCAACCAAGAAAGAGCTCATGGCGCTTGTGGCTTTGAGCTTCAATGCTCCATATTTTGTGTGCACATATATATATATATATATATTTATTTATTTATTTTATTTATTGTATGTCTACATACGTGCTAGCTACCACGCCAAGTCCGGAGGCATCAATTATTAAGCCCTTTGAAAGCCCCCTTTCGGAACCTCGTTAGAAACCCTTAAAGGAACCTTTAAAGGAGCCAAAAGCCCTACCGCAGAAGGTCCAGCTTCCAGTGGCTGCACCATTCTGAAGCAGCACGCGCAGCGGGGCGAAAAACTCCTGTTTAGCGCAGAAAATTAAACCCCTAAACCCTAAAACCTAAACCCTGACTCCTAAACCCAAAAACCCTAAATCCTAAACTCTTAACTCCTATCGAGCAGGCGAAAGGGTACCCTCGGCAAGGTCCTTTAATCATGGTCGCAGTTGCCAGCCATTTCGTATAGCTATATAATCTCGATCTGAGCTCTAGAAGACCATGAACAAAGGATTGAAACTGCAATGGCAAACAGCCGCTTGCAAAAATAGGGGACCCTAATATAGTACCCTAAAGAGTAGGATCCATATTATAAGGACCGCAAAGTATAAGGTACCCTCTATTTTCGAATCTTGTCACCGGAACTCGAACGGGCAAATTGCTTCGACCCTTCCCCGCTCCAGCCGCCATGACCAACTGCTGATATCGATCTGGTGCAAGCCCTAAGGGTCTTTTGTACCGATATAGTAGAATGTAGGGTTTCCATATGAGGAAATACTATGATGACTTGGGAAGTATCTCCCATAACAGTACATAGGACCCTTTGGGAAGTAGCACAGGCTCCGCCAAGGGCGGGCGCAGGTTTCCAGTCACGGAATCAGCTTTGTTTTGTTTGTGATCTTTGGTATCTTGTCACTGAAACTCGATCGGGCAAATGGCTCCGATCCTTTCCGGCTCCAGATGCCAGGAGTGGAGCAAGCAAAGTTTCATTGCCGCACAGTCGTCCACGAGGCATGTTTTGCTGCAGGGCCATGATTTTTTCCGGCCCAAATCTACGCCTGACACGCCCATCTGTTCTGCCGGTTGTCATCCTGTCTCCCACTTCGCTGCCTCTCTTTCTATCTCTCAGTGTAGCCAGTCATCAGGGCTCCCACCAGGCCCATAAACCCTAAACTAGACCCCAGAAACCTAAACAGTATACCGTACGTGAAGAAACGTTCAAGTCCTAGTGTGCACGGCTGACATACATCGAACCAGCTGCCATTGTGACATTGTAGGGCCATTGTAGAGTGTAGGAGTTAGGGGTCCTGAGCCCTGATACAAAAAATCCCCAACAACCTTTAAGGCCTATGTTGTCATTCAAGAGCTACGACAAGCCGGGCCTCTGGAAGCCAGCTGTGAAAGCTGTGACGTAAAACCGAAAACTTAGCCTGCTTCATCAGCCCTCTTGCAAACACCTTCCGAGCTCTGAAAACGAGTTACCCCAAAGACAAAGTCCACAGACATGCCCTACTTGTGCATGTGTGTGTAAATATAACATATGCATACTCTGTGTGTCTGTGTGTGTGTGTGTGAGTATTATACCTACATATATATATATATATGCATATACATATATCTATATATATATATATGTATGCATACACTGTATATACCTACACATATATATATATATATATATATATATGCATACACTGTATATACCTGCATATATATATATATATATATATATATATATATATATATTAATATTAATATATTACATACAGACTATGTATACGCGTCTGTGTTTACGTTTACAACCACACATGAACCCGTGTACAGGGATACTTACTAGCCTTCCCATAGGTAAACCCCAGATATGCTCTCACGGATGATCACCAATGTTACTGAGGAGCCACATTGACTATGCAACACCTACAACAACATTCATAGCCGAGCATGCTAACAAATTAGCGCCACAGCCATGCCCCACACCCAGAAAATGCATTTGCTTCAGGTCTTTCGCTTTGCTTAGATCTCTGGGGTGGCAGTTTGAGCTTTTCCGCAACAGCATTGCTTTGAGACACGTGAAAGTGCGGGTGCAGGGCGTAAGATTTCGGGCCGAGCTGCAACACGCAACTTCTGCGATCAATTACCCGAAATCCTGAGCTCTAGTTACTCTAGTTGTCCACGTATAGTTTTTGTACGTGCTATAAGGGACACCGCCCCCACAGCCTGTTCTGATGAAAGCTGATCTTCCCCGACCAGATGATAATCAGATCTCTGGGCCCTTGGAAGCTACAACCCAGGCACTGAACGCTAGGGTTGAGGGTTTAGGGTTTAGGGTTCCGAAACAAGTTCCAATTACACCTCAAACCTACTCCCGAAATCCTAAAGCCAGAAACCCTAAACCCTAATTCCCAAACCAAAGCGGTAAGGAGTACCGTAGCCTGCCCAAAAGGGGCGTCGGGGGGGGAACCGATCTCCAATCCTAAAACCTGCAACTGCAGCGAAGAGGCATCGAACACAACGTTCAGAGTGAGCAGAAGGATCCCCTGCACTCCAGAGCTTTGGAGTAAAGGGCATGCTTCAGTTCGTGGCCTTCGGTTTACCTTACATAAGGGGCCTTATAGTGGTTAGAGTAGGGTTTAGGAGTGTATTTAAATACACTTGTGACACCCTAAACCCTAAACCCTGAACCCTAAACCCAAAACCCTAAACCCTAAACCCTAAACCCTGAACCCTAAACCCTAAACCCTAAACCCTAAACCCTAAACCTGTCATTGGCTGTGGTCATAGAGTCCTCAATCAGCCCTAAGGTTTGAAAAACCCCAAGCCTTAACTCTAAATTATATTAGGGACCCAGCCATAATTTAAGGTACATTCCCTTATTAAGGGATATCGGAGTCTCTGGGTACCCGGCAATGTAATATAGGAACCTGATTAAGAAACCTTGGGCCTTTATTGCGGCTCCTTATATGACTCCTAGTATTTTGAGCTTCTTGGGGCCAGGGTTCCTACATTACTGTAGACCCTAAAGCCTTCGTTTCTCCTGCACAGTAGATTTCTGTCTTTGAGACCGTCCAGTATTTTAAAATTTGGTTTAGGGGCTTGCACTGTCGGGTGGACATCTGGATTTAGAACCGGGCGCGTAAGGTTTAAGCCTGACATGCTAGACCCACATACAAATCTTGGTATCCGAAGGCTTGCAATGCAGCTCAAACTGCAGTTCAATGACAAATCATAAGATAGAGGTCGGAATACTTGCACGGAGCTACCGGCACGTGGCCCGATGGAGTGCTTTCGGCGTTTAGGGTTCAGGATTTAGGGTTTGGGGGTCTAAATGGATCACCAATTGTGAGTCTCGGCAGAGGCCGTCCCTTCCGATCGAGCGGACATGATCGATTTGTGGTAGTTTCCGAAAGTAGAGGACCCTTATAGCAGGCTCCTTATCAGACGGACCCCAAAATAAAGTACCTCTAGTTTTCGGAAACTCCCATTTCGGTACCACGAAAGGTTGACCCAGGTCACGTTGTCTAGAGCTGACCATACACCTCTTTCACATCCGGGCCAGAGCCAGTTCCGGAGTGCTCTTAATATCGGGGCCTTAATAATTAGAATAGGCTCCGGTACGTATTATACTGCCGTCATAGTAAGGACCCCCCCCCTCACAAAAACACATAGTTTTGGTTACTATTTTGGGCCCTACATCATCTGGCCATCAAGCAGCTCAAGTCGGCGTATTGTATGCACGTAGCTGACCCAAAACCCATATTCTAGTCAAGTGCCCTGTATTACGTCTCGACTCGACGCCGAACCGGCTTTCTCAACGTCACGGGACGTAAAGCTGGATGAAAGGCATTTCGGCGAGTAATGCGAGGGTCTTAAAGAAGCAGAATAATACCCTGGGCATCCAAATAGGCCAATAGCCTTATATAGTATGGTTTTGGGCCCAAAAACCTTAATATATGAGTCCTTAGATGCCTAATGATAATGCTTTGGGTTTGGGGGCATTCAGCTCTACTCCTATCTGGGAACACCAAGAAAACATTAATATTCATTGTGCCCCCACTCAGTAATAGTTGAATAATATTCATAATATAGATATACTAGGACCTTAATAGTAGCCCTATTATAGACTCTTCCTGTATGGGGGCCGTACCTAATGAATGTTCGTTGTGCCCCTTGTTACCATTCAAGACCAAGCGCCTTTCTTTAGAGATCTTGGGTTGCCTGGGGTTTACCATGTCGAAATGCTTTGAACACCATTCGCCGGAACCCCTAACCTACCAAAAGCCTTGAACGCCAAACACAAAACCATCCAAAACACCCTTATTAAAAAAAAAAAAAACAAAACCTTCACAGATACCCCAAACCCTAAGCCCGAAGCCCTGAGAATGAACCCTAAGAACCCTCAGGGCAGATACATGAGTTTCCAAAAGTTGGGGGGTTCCTTACAATGGGGGTCCTTATAGTATGGATCCTACTATCTAGGCTACTATATTGATTAGGGTCCCTCACTTTCGGAAACTCCCATACGGGCTGAGCGTCGGACAGAAAGAGAGCAAGCCATGGCCATGGCGGAGATCTTGGAGTCAGCTGAGGGAGGGCGGCACAGGTAAGGGCTTATGATATGAGGCTATAATGTAAGGGCCTTAATAATTCGAATAGGGTTTGGGGATCCTTTATGGTATAGTAAAAAATAAGCCTAAGGGATACTATCGGTAATTATTTAGGCTTCTCTAGTAGGGGTTTAGAAGTTTAGGGGTTTGAGGTTTTTGGGAGGAGGGCTTAGCTACTGCAAGGCATTTCTCTGCGATTCCCGCCAGGGTTCCCAGGAAAGGCTCCTGAAAGTCCACGGGGAGCTGTACGTATGGCTAGGAACATCACAGTGACGTTTCTATACTGAACTTAGAACCCTAGCAAAAATTTTAATTTTAGCTGTTTCTTAGGGATTAGAATAACCAAAGATTGAAGAATATTTCTAAGTACCCCTAAGGTTTCTTACAAGAGGACCGAAGCCTCTGCACCGTACCACGGGCATTGTAAACTACACCCCAAGACACGGTTAGGGCCAGGGTTAGGGTTTAGGGTTAGGGTTTAGGGCCCGGTGTGGGTCTCGTCTGGCCGGCTCGTTCGAGGGTTCGTAAAGCCATTCCTACGGTGCTACCCGGACTTTCTAGCAGCAGCTTGGAAAACTCCTAGATACTCTCGGTCTCACGTCAGCTTCAAGGCTCTTTCTAGAGAACTCTTGGCACATGCCAAAAGGCCTAAACCCTAAACCCTAAACCCCTAAAGCCCTAAACCCCCAAACTCCTAAGCCCTAAACCCCTAAACCCCTAACTGCGTGAGTCTGATCAGCGAGCCCTGCGCACAGGAAGACACGAGAACCTCTGTGGACATGCAGGCTGTCTTTTGCTCGAAAAAACTGGTGGAGGCCGACTGGATTCAGGGTTCTAGTTATCTGTGGGGTTGTGATCAAGGGCTATCCCTGGTTCTAGGCCCCCAGTGGGTGGTCTCATAAGGCGTTCGCGTAATACACGTATTGGGTCATCATTTTCACGTAGGTTATCAGCCGTAGCCTTAGCTCTGTAAGGGCTTTAGATCGACTGGCAAGCATTCGGAACTCGCCTAGTGTAGGTGCGTCTTGTGCTGAGCCATGGATCCTATGTTTCGTCAAAGAAGACCTTCTGCACAAGGCGACCCGGAGTGGGGTAGGCCGACTGCGGATCAAGAATACGAGGCAGCCTTGAGTCAAGGGAACGCTGGCGGCAGTGGGTCGTCTGGAATCATCGCGACAGGCGAATCCTCGCCTGGCACTTTAGAACAGGGCACAGCAGCTGTGGCGCCTACTGCAGGGGCGACGCAGCCGATGCCCACGGCACATCCTTTTCATTCGGATCGTGTTCAAGCCGAAGTAGCGCTGGCTAGAAGCAGGCCACATACTTTGGATGATGATGCAAGGCGGATGTTGGATGTGAGCGAATCCGCTCTAGGGGATCGAAATTTATCTGGACGGAAGGATGAACCTGATTATGGATCGGATGCTCAGCGGGGACTTCCTAGAGTTGCGAGATTAGAGTACACGGAAGGACCTGTGACTGGTCAAAAGGACACTGGATCAGTGACTGCGGGAGAAGGTGGTACCTCCAGGGGTTCTCCAGAGCCTCAGTCTAATCCGGAAGACTTTGGCTCAATGAGGGGCCGCGCTCGGGAAATGGCATCTACTTCTGCAGATGATGGTGATCGAGGTGTTCTGAGCTCTTCAGAGCGGCCAACTCCTGATGATCAACGAGAGCTTGTGCCTGACGCAACGGGTAGTCCGAATAGGATGGAGTCTTTGCTATTGCAGGTAATTGAGGAGAATCGGTTGTTGCGTGGTAGGCTGGATCAAGTAGAGAGGTCTAGTTGGCATAGTGGGGCGACTAGGAATACTCATGAGGCTCCTGTTGCTTCGCCGGCTTCCTTTGATCCTCGGTCGAGTCTGCTGATCGGATCGGCTCCTGCTGGTGTTGAAAGTGTACAGCTGATAGAGGAGTTTGCCAGGAATGGTGATCCACGGTTGTTCGGTGAGCTACAGGGTACGTTGGCTAGAGGGTCCTGGTCTCAACCGTTTGGGCTGATGCCTCCAACCGGGCGATCTGAGTATGTGGATCATGGGGCAAGTTGTGGGTTCGTAGCAAATCCTACTACGGGTCTAAGGGCTATTCCTCCGCCCCCTCTTCCGAGTTTCAGGGCTATAGATCAGGAGTTTGGTGAGGTGCCGAGAGCTCAATCGTTTAGGCAATTCCGGCAGTCGATTCAGGATTCGGGGGTGAATGGGGATAATCCTTCAGGATCTGGGTTCTTGACTCCGAGGTCGGGTGTTAAGGGAGAAGCAGCGGGGCTTGATGCTAGTGGGTATCCGGTTTCTCCTGGGGGTACAGTCATCAGACCACCGCCGGGCCCGCCCCCGATCTCACCTCGAGTGGGACAAGTTGCTGGAGGTTACCAAGGGCAGTCGCTGGTTGGGAGTGCGCAAGCGTGTGGAGGACCAGGGGTTGGTGGCTTTGGTGATAGCCTTAATGGTCTGACTGGGTGTTCGGGACAAGTACCGGTAAGTTCAGGTCAGGTTCCAACGCAGGTAGGATGTCCAGTACAGGGCCAGTATCCGAATACGAATTCGGGTCAGTTTGGTGTTTCTGGGTCCAGTAATGGTGGGGCTGGGCAGAATTATGTACGTGGGGCTCCAGAAGAACCTGCGAAGTATATCGTTGACCTTCCTAAGCTTGCTGCGGTTGACTTAACGACAAGCGCGGTTACGTGCGGTAACTGGCTGGCGCAAACTCGTCAGGTCTTTGCGGGCCTGTCTGCATCGGCTTCGGTATGGTTTGAGTCGGTTGAGAGTGCTGCTAGTGCTAGCTATCAACGTTGGCTAGTTGCAGATCCCCTTGAGAGACTGGCACTTGACCCTTCTACAGTCGTTGCGAATTATGACGCGTACAAATACCAGAGAGTGGAGTCTCGGGCTGTGTCTTTGTTGTTGTCGTGTGTGCCGGCTAGCTTCAAGGAGGAATTGATTACTAATAGATGGATGTCAAGTGCCTCCATTCTTTACCGGATTCTCTGTGTGTATCAACCTGGAGGTTCGATGGAACGTGGGTTTCTCCTCTCTAGATTAGTACAACCAGAGTCTTGCCGTACGTACAAGGAAGCAATCGTCTGTCTAAGAAGATGGCAACAAGACCTCATAAGAGCAAGGGAAGTGCAGGCGACTTTGCCGGACCCTAGCTTGTTGTTAAAGGGGGTTGACGCTGCTACGAGTTCGCTCCTTAACCTTCAGCCAATGGTGGCATTCAGGATAAGCGCGTTCAGACATAAGAGTTCAATCGATTATAACCCGTCTGTCTCTGGAGTCATTCAACTTGTACGACTCATACAAGCTGAATGTGAATCTATGGCTATGACGGTTGAAGCTACACCCGATAAAAAGGCCAAAGCAGCAGCTGCTGCGGCGGCCAGGCTAGAGACTCCTAGCGCTAAGTCGCCTACTGTTCCACCTGTTCCGCCGCCTCCTCCGGCAGGGGCCTCTGTGGCAAGGATTGGGGAAGGAGATGGCAAAGGGAAAGGTAAAGGTAAGGGTGAAGGAAGCGGGGGAGTGCAATTGTGCACCAAGTTCTCGGACGCCACAGGGTGTAGGTTCGGGGATGTGTGTCATTTTCGTCATGATCGGGGTACCGCTAGAAAGCAGGGTCGTTGTCTAGCTTGCGGCCAGAAAGGGCATTATAGACCAGAGTGCACATTGGTCGCGCCTGAGAACAGGCAAGTTGTACCTGGGGATTCCTCCGAAGGGGCTTCGCCGAAAGCTAGTCCTAACCAGCCGAAGAAGGGTGAGCCTAAAGCAAAGGCTAAGGCAGGTGCTCAGGCGAAAGGAATTACTGAGGATGCTAGAGAAACGGCAGCTTCTTCGGGAGGGAATCCTACAGGGGCGAATGCTTCGTCGGTTCCGCCTGCTGATCGTGATGCTTTGTTGGCTGAAGCTGCTAAGCTCCTAAATAAGGGTACCGCTGTAAAGGGTCTGAAGTTGAGGAGTTCGGAGCTTGACAAGTATGGCATAGATCGGTCTTGGTTGTTGAGTGCTGTGGCTTCTCCTTCGGACGATCGGTTTGCGCTTATTGACTCCGGTGCAACTAATGGGCTTAGGCCTGCGATGTCGGTTGAGGAACTTCAAGATTCGAGGGTTATCAAAGTAGACCTAGCCTCGGGTACCACCCAGCTTCATATTAATGACCAAGGCACCCTGCTGACCGAAGGCTCATGTCAGGTAATTGTTCCAGCTGGGTATCTTGTTGAACTTGGTTATGTCATTACTTGGAAAAAGAAGGGCTGTTGCGTGAAGCATCCGGTAAGGGGTCCCCTTGAAGTTCGGGTGCATAAGGGTTGTCCGTTGGTAACCAGGGATATAGGATTGGAGTTGCTGGCATTGTATGAGGAAAGAAGGGCTAGGTCGGAGGAGATTAGATGCTCTAAGATTTCTCCTGTGCCTCGAGACGTTGGTCCTGGCAATATCCGGGTCTGGATGTGTGAGCGGTTGAGGAGTCAGGGTTCACTTAGTCAGAGTGACTTGCAGGTGTTCCTTCGTGTTATGTTTCCGGGAATCTCCGACCTCAGTGTAGTTCAGTCATTGCCGAATGAAGGGCATAATTCCGGCCAGACCGGACATCCTTGGAACCATCGGTTCCGAAGATCTGTGCAGCGGGAGCATGCCGGGGGTGTGTTGTTGCGCTTCTCATCCTCGGGTTCTAAGTGGAAAGGACCGGGAAGGGTTGTTGATCTTGATAGGAGATTTGGTTCTGACATTATGTGCGAGCCGGTGTTCAACTTGGTGCTTGACTGGGCTTCCTCGGGGGTGATTGGGGGTGTGATAAGTAGTACGGCAGGACAGTCGTGGGATCGTCTCACCGCCTCGAGTGGGTCAGAAACTTCCCAGGCTTTGGCGTCCGCTGACGTAGGATGGCTTAGGCAACTGGTTGTGTATGCGGTTGCTCAAGCTGCTTCGGATGCGAAGGCTCAGGGTGGTGATGAGGCTGATCAAACGAAGCCTGTTGG